CACGTCACCCCCTCATGCCATGCTCATGTTTCCCGTCGTGAGTGCAACTGACAGATCTAACAAACCCAAACTGTCTCTGTTCTGTATTTATTTCACCGTTTTCTCCCAAAGCAACAGCGGAGGCAGCATCAAGGCTCTTCTGGGTAAAACAAGCTTTGTGCAAAAGAACAGATCGATGTTCCCTAAGGTTTTACTGCAGTGGTGTGCAGCCGTCTCGAGCTGTGCAGCTGAAATAGGTAAAACACGGCTCCGCCAAGTCCGTCCGCCTGCTTTGTCAGCAAGCTACTTGTGCTGTGAGGTTATGGCACTTAACCGCTACAACACTAAGCCATGCCTTTGGACGTTGGTATTTGTCTGGTGCAGAGATGTGTCACCATCCAAATGATGTTGAGCTGTTGGGTAGTTTCCAGAGCGCAGCATCGTGTTATGCCGCCGCCATACTCTGATGCAGCTGTATCCTTGTCAAAGGCATCTCTCTGCTTCTGTAGAGCACATGGCTGCTCTTCGTGCTTTTCTCATCCCATCTCTAGCTGACCCTCAAGTCGGTCCGCTGCAGCAAACAGACTGCAAACACACTCCAGTACACAACATAACAAGGCACACACTGACTTCTTATCACACTTGCTCAACATCAGGAATTGCAGCCAATTCCAGTAAACACTGGTAAATAAACAAAACAAGAATTCACAATATCTCTCTTTACACCAGCAGACACAATCAAATACTGTCTGTGTTCCAACACCCGACTACCAAACATGCTTGTTCGCTCCTTGTTCTACGCTGGCAGGACAAAGAGCCTTTATTGGGTCGAGACATTTCTGAGAGAGTCTGTCCGGCTCTGTCCCCGTGAGGAAGGAAGCCCACGGCATGCTGATCCAACTGGAGACAGCCGGCCTCTCTCTGTCTCTCTCAGTACTGTCTCATGCTCTCTTTTGATTCTAACGCTGCCGGCCTTGTGGTTTCACACACATTTCCTGCTGCACATCAGAAAACCTCTGGCTCGGCCAACATGCTGCAGACAAGTGTGTGAGGAGGCAGTCGGTGCTGGTTGGTGGCAGTCCACAAAAAGTAAATAAGAGCTGGTTTGTGTGGTTATTCCTTTCGTGGATCTCTTATCATTGGAACATGTTCAACGCAGGTGCTATTAGTTTCTTCTTTTATTGGTAATTACGGAACTTTCTGTAGCTGTATTATCTTATATGTGGAGTTGACTTATTCTGCATCAACTAGCCACAACAGAGTGGCTTCAGGGGGCTTATTTTGCTTTTAAAACAGCAGAGGCTTTATTTAGCGGTATACATGCTAAACAAATTAGCCACCCTGCAAGTGCTTGAATGATGCTAAGAGGGAATGGAGAGCAAATAAAAACAACAAAGTCCAACTGCAGCGACCCCCCCCTAACAATGTAAACATTCAGGGTCCCTTTCCTGATCTCTCATATGTCTCTCCTCAATTTTCCCTAAACCTCAACGCTCACACTTCAACCCTCCTGCAGTACAGACAATAACATCATCCACATGCTCACCTCCTTCTTCTCTCACCACAGCCAAGGTGTGCTGTGACCATGGCAACGGACGCCACGGAAACTAAGCACGAGATGCTTTTAGAGGTAACCGAATCCAAAGGCCCAGGTAAACAGGAAAAATGAGTTCTTTTCAGCGACATCTTAAAGAGACAGTGTCAAAGTGGATTCAGTGATCACATCATGAGGATTAAATGACCTCTGTCACTGTCTGTTCAATGTGTTGTCTCTTTAAGATCTGCATGGTGTGGTGATGGGTTTGATTCAGCCTTTACATGCGAGTGGTGTGCTGTGTCCACTTGACGACTTCTTTGATCTCCTTTACCTATACTTCTTTTTAGGTGATGTCTGTGCAAAAAGAAGAAAAAACACACAAAGACTTTTATGTCACTTACATTTAGTGAGTGTTATGATGCTTGTTTTTATGCTAACAGGCTGCTGGCCGTTGTTTTCTATATTGAACTGACAGATATTAAAGCGTTATTTATCTTCTCATGTAACTAGAAAGCCAGAAAAGGGCATTTCCCAAAATGTTAGACTAAAGGAAATTCATTCCTTGTGGGATGAATTTCCCTGCTTGCATTAATATCAGAACATTGTGCTGTTGCATCGTGTGCATTCAAAAAAAAAAAAACATGTTTATTTCCACTTTAAGTTGCCTTTACCAGATGTTAAATATTCTCCTGAGGACCTGGGTCAAAACGCACTGCATCGCAAGCACACAGGAAGTCAAAATTAACCTCAGTTGGTTGGGTGCTGCTCTGTAGAGTGCTGCTGCTGCTGAGTCGTCTACGCGGCAGAAAAAAATGGTCCTTTCTCGTTTCACGCATGAGTGTGTGAGCATGCCCACGGCAGTGCATTATAGGCTCGGGATCAGAGTAGAAACACTGGACGGGCACTGATGCTGGAAGAGCATTCTGCAGGGAAGCAGACCATCTGGGTCACATCAGAATATCCCCTCACATATTCTCAAAACTGCAAAGACTCCTGATTTGGGAAAAAAAAGGAAATTATTTCTACAAAAATGTAAATTCATGAGTAATTTCCCAAAGATTTCTCATTCATTTCAAGTCCTTCTTTAAACATAAAGCTAAGGAAACCAATTTAAAACTAACCCACCTTTATTAGATCTTCAATCTGATGTAAACATCAAGGTCCTAAATATGATTTACCCATGGTGAAAATTAATACAAAAAGGGACAAAACCATAAGAGAGAAAACAAGGAAAATATTAAAACATAAGTGAGGTCTCATCATCACGCTGTAATATATCTCAGAACTGATTGATTGCTGAGTGATACAAAAACTGAACTGCAGGATTTCCCAAAATGTCATGTCATTGTTTTGGACAAACGACTTATTGATGAATCAAAAGAAGAATCAATTGGTAATGAAATCAATTGTTGACTTCCAAATTCCTTATGACTACAAATAGAAATTGAAGGAAACCTTAGTAAACCTTAATGTGTCTTTTTTTCCAGAGTTAGATGAGTGAATTAAGACCATTATGCAGCCACCATCAGCAGCCTGTTGGCTTAGACTCGAAACAGTAAAACATATAGCATTGCTTTGTCCAAAAATAGCTACCAGCATCTCTAAAAGTGAACACCAAGCCTCGAATCTGTACAAAACAATTGTAAAAACAATACGTTGTAGTTTTACTGGGTTTAGCTGCTGGATTATTCCTGTGTTGGGAGCAGCACATAACTCCCCAGTAGAACCACAACTTGTTTACACATTGGATTTATGATTGAACAACAAATATATATTCATATTTCTGAAGTAGTAAGAGACTCTTCTCCAAACATATGACTGTGGCTGCAAAATGAGTTTAGACATCTGTCACAACTGTATTTGTCCCAGTCTGAAATGTTGCCTTTTATACAGATACAGGGTTTTTGTGTAAAATAATTGAATATCTGGTAGACAATTGATTTTTGGAGGCGTGTGGCGCAGTGGGTTGTGCGTAGGTGTTCGGATCAGGGTTCAAACCCCAATGCAGTCAGCATGTCGTTGTGTCCCTGGGCAAGACACTTCACCCCAAATTGCTCCTGTGGGGATTGTCCACAGTATTGAGTATGTAAGTCGCTTTGGATAAAAGCGTCTAACAAGTAACATGTAATGTAATGTAATTTCTATTGATTATTTGAGTGACACTTCTAGAAAACAAAAACTGTTCTTTTTAATTAAACTGCTTTTCATAAAGGCGTACAACAAAAGAATCCTAACAAACACTTCCCACTCTGTCCTTAAAGTCCTATGTTTGTCAGTACACAAATACATACCAAGCACTTAAAACTCTCCCACACAAAAATATAAAGAGTTGAGACTGTACGTGGGGAAATTAGTTTACTGTATCATTTCCCATGATGCCTCTGGTACAGTGAGCAGCATGCAAAGTGAAATCCCACACCAGTTGCTACTTATAGCTCTGAAAGGGATACCCACAGAGGCCTGAGAACGCCTGTCTGCACAGTGGTGTAGAGTAGCTGTGTAGCTCTGTAACCTCACCCTCTTAGTTCATGCAAGGGACCTCCACGAGTACACGGAGACAAAAAACAAAACACACAGAGACTTACAAAGACACACAAACCCCCTTTATTATATTTAATTGAGCCAGAAGATATCTGTTTACATTTTTTCGAATGACATCATGTCAACAAATCTCTTCTTTGGAATCCCATGGAGTGATTAGAGCAATGTTTTCCCTTCAAGCAAGGGAAAGTTTAGCTTATGTGTAAGAGTTTATAACTTTCTGACTTGAAAGAGGATGAGGATATAGAAATATCATTCAAAAGTCCAAAAGTTTCATTACTTTTGATCACCAGCACTTACAGGACTTTATTGCCGGCTGCTTTACTTTATTGCATAGGTCAGACTCAGGACACGTTTGTTTTTTGGTAGCACATTGCACCGGAGCGATTAGCAGTGATATGTGTCATTAAGTGATAATGGGGGTTAACACCCTTTAGTTTTGCATTAGATAATACACTTCTATCTCTTGGAGAGGCGTTATCTATTGAGGTGATGCAGTTCAAGTCTGATAATCAGCCACACATTTAACGTCAACTCCTTGGGGCCATGCAGACAGCTTGGATGTCGTTGTGGGTTTTCACTGCTTTCCTTTCTCTCAGGACCAATCATGGATTTGGCTGTTTTCAGTCAGTGAATCAGGGATTTGTTCCCTATTTCTCTCAAGCTGCTACTGCTGTGTGGGTGCTCCCTTTTTCTGCGTGTTGTGTATCTTTCCCACTTCCGTTTGAACACTAGTAAGTACGAGCCAAGGTTTTCTTCTCATTCCATCTGCTATTTTGATTTATTTTCTTCAAATAAAATCAATTGCATTTCATTATCCACACACACGCATACAAAAACACGCCCATAGGCACCGGCCTGCTCCTTATCTGGCTGAGGATATAAAGATTGATGATCTGATTGCATGTAGCCGTGGTTGTCATATATTCTCTTTTGCCCGCAGAGAGAAGACGACAGGGCAAATTCCAGCCCTTCAAACGGCTCTTCGGGAGAAAGAAGAAGAGGGAGGCCAAAGGGGGCTTTGATGGAGCAGAGCTAAAGGCCAGTTTTTCTACCGGGGAAGTGCGCAATGGAATTGTATCTGACGATGAGGAGTCCAGTCAAAATCTGAGGTAACTACGGAGATGAAGTTTCATTTGTACACATATTTGTCAGTGATACATAACGAAACAAAGCTTGTCCTTTTGCCATTGTATCATTGCTCATAAAAACTGCAATCACAGGTTTTATTAGAGCCCACAGGAAGTTACACACATTTGATAAAAGAAACTCAGTTGCTTATCATTTTCTTTCACTTCCAGTAACGGGAAAGTGTTATAAACCCATTCTGCAAGTTGTTGGCAGTAATGACACCCTGAAGACATTCTTATTCTTCCACAGGGATTTGAATCCCATCGGATCACGAGCCCTGTCACACGACAGCATCTTCATTCCAGAGGAGCCGGCGCCCGAGGCCGGTCTAGATCACAGCATGTCCCAGGAAAACGTCTCGGACAAAGTCAGGAATCTGCAGGTGGGCCTTGTGGCGGTGTGCACTCAATGCCTGAAGAGTTATTTTTCAGTCTACAACCATAACATGTTTCCTTTTTCTGTTGGTCAAACAGAAGCAGATAGCACAAGGTATAAAGTTTGGCCAGAGACCTCCTTCTTTAAGGAAAAGCGAGGGAGATGAGGGAAGTTCGGATGAGGAAGAGGTCCCTCGGAGTCCTCTGAAGGTTCTGGCCCAGGTAGAAGCCGAGCCAGCAATCACAGAGCCAAAGGTAATAACTTATTAACTTATGCATGCATTCTGATGACGATTTGGTTCAGTTTTTAAAGGAGCTCGATAGATGTAATACACCACAGTCACAGGTCACGTGTAGTACTACTGCATGAGGCGAAGTCCCTCCCCTTCCGGTGGGACTCATGGGACCTTATTTCGGAAAAAGTTTGTAGAAGTCAATGGAGAGAGAAAGATTATCTTTCGATCCCGTTTGAATTGTGCCACGAATTACACATATGATGTTTGTCAATCTTAAATAATAATTTCCATGTCAAAAAAGTCACAGTTTGTCGTAAAACTGTTGAAATATAAGACTATGAAAAATACGCAACTAGAAAGACTACAAATCCCAGAATCCCGGTCCCGCATGCTGGCTCTTACGAACCGACTAACTCCCTTTTTGTGTATGTACAGCTCTCAACATGCCCAGACTTGTAGTGATTTTCACCTCTTTTAATACTTTTCGCCTCATGCTGAAAGAAAGAAGTGAAATGTGCCAATGTGACGGCCGTCTTGGTGTGTGGTGCGAGACAGGAGATGTAGTTCATTGAGCGGTTTCACACAAAAAAAGTGTTACTTCACAGTTTTACGACACATTTTTATTTGACTTGTAAAATTATCTTTTAAATTGACAAACATCATATGTGTAATTCGTGGCACAATTCAAACGGGATCGAAAGATAATCTTTCTCTCTCCATTGACTTCAATGCATAACTTTTCCGAAATAAGGTCCCATGGAGCTCAACCGGAAGAGGAGGGACTTCGCCTCTCTATAAAACCTTTTGTGGCTGCAGGGGGAGCTGTGCTAAATGAGGTGTTATTAACTGTTGTCATTTATTTGATGGCGTATTGTAGATAAAAAAAAAAATATTGAGCTGCGGGGAGGGAGATAGCATTCAGGGAAAAGCCTTTCATATTTTCTGCGGTTAAAGGAATTAATGAAATAAAAACTTGAGTACTTCCTTATTGCTAATCCAGTTGCAAAGTACAATTTGGTAAGGTCATCCAGTGCATACAAACACACAGCATCTGTAGTGTGAGGAGGTTGATCCTTTCTTTCATTTGTGACTTTAGATTCAGAGAATTTATGAGTTTCTTCTTGCAAATGTACAATTTTGAACTTGGTATTCCTCAAGTACTTCCCCACCTAAGCCTGTTCCTTATTTGCTTTAAGCTACGTTAGCCGCTAGCATAATACATAATACACATATCATTGGTCACAGTTGCTTTTTGGGTAATGTATGATGAGGAAAAAGAAGACGACAATTTAAAAAAAAAAAAGATCTTCAAATGAATTGAATCTAAATTGATCCTTTGTTTTGCAGTCCAAGTCTGACTGTTTCATATTATGAGTGCAATGCATTATAGGTATTTGCACAACGATTTAATGCATTTGAGTTTTTAATAAAAGCTGTTTTTGTGACAAAAGCAGGTCCAGGGGGGTCATCAAGCCGGACCTCACAGCACCCCAGTGAAGTCACCGAGGTCCAAACGAGTTCTTCTGCCCACTGGTACCATCGAGTCCATCAATCTGGACTCTGTTCCACAGTCTGTTCCTCGCCTGGACAACACCGCTGCCAGACATAAGCTGTCAGTCAAACCCAAAAACCAGAGGATTTCCCGCAAACACCGACGGTTTACACAGGTGAGCTTACCCGCGAGTCGTCTCAGATGGGTATAAGCATGTTTTGGGTTTATTCTATGACATTTCACACCCTTTTTTGGGATTAACAAAATAGGAGCTAATGCTTTTTTCCACATTCCCAGGACCTCCAGGAAGTTGATATTCCTGGTGTGTTGCAAGAGGACTTCGAAGCAGCCGGTTTCTCCACAGACGCCCAACGCAGAGCATCTGTTGAGTCCCTAGGAAGCTTCAAGAAACAGAGACTACATGAGGAGGAGAGACAGGAGACGAGGAGGAGGAGGGACCTGGAGGAGCAGAGACTCAGACAGGAGGAGGAGGAGAGGAGGAAGAGAGCAGCAGAGGAGCTCAGGCTGCGTCAACTAGAGGAGGAGAGGTGTCGTAAACAGCAGGAGGAGGACGAGAGAAAGCTTAAAGAAGAGACAGAGAGGAGGAGGATTGAAAAGGAGAGAAGAATTAGAGAGGAAGATGAAAAAAGGCGACGAGAGGAGGAAGAGCGGATGCGAAGGGAGGAGGAGGAAAGGAGGAAAGAGGAAGAGGAAGAAGCGAGGAGGCAGCAGGAGCTCGAGGCTGAGAAGAAGAGGAAGCTAAGAGAGGAGGAAGAGCAGAGGAAGAAAAAGGAGGAAGCGAAGAAGCTGAGGTTGCAGGAGATTGAAGAAAAGAAAAGGTTGGAAACAGAGAGGACTAGGAAGGAGGAGGTGGAGCAGAGGAAGGCTGAGGAGGTGCGCTGGAGGGAGATGGAGGAGAGACAGAGGCCTTTCTCCTTCAAAGTTTCCTCTGGAGAAAAACAGATTTTGTTCCAGAAGGTCAACCTGACGCCTGTAACGCCTGCGCCCAGCTACCAGAGCGCTGCTGCAGCCGAGCGAAGAGAGAGCGCGTCCTCCTCTGAAGGACCAGAGTCCCCCAACCTGCCAACGTCTCCATTCGTCCCCCACACCGCCATCCTGGTGACGGGCGCCCAGCTCTGTGGGACGGCCGTCAATATGGACCAGATCAAAGACAGCGCCTGCAAGTCTCTGCTGGGTTTGGGAGAGGACAGGAAGGCCCAGGGAACACCGCCGACCAAGAGCAAGACCTCACCGGACCGCAAGTCTGGCAAAACCAAGTCCCTCAACGAGTCCTCGCTCTCTACAGACCAGTCTATCCTGGCAGAATGGGCGAGCATCAGATCAAAGATATTCAAGGGGGTGGAGGAGGGGAAATACGACGAACAGCAAGAACAGAGCAAGAACCAGCCTCAGCCCGGCAGCGAAGACACGCCTGCGTTCTCCCACACCAACCTCAGGAAGACCATGTCCGCCAGCGCCAAGTTCTCCATCACTCCTGCGAAGAAGAAGTTTGGAGATTCAAACAGGAACTCTGAGGTGTTTGGTGCCGAGGAAAAGGAAGCAGGAGAGGAGGGTTCTTCGCCTGAAAGCCCCATCGCAGCCTCCCCGGCTCCAAGCAGCAAACCTCAGAACAGGACGAGTAAAACCGTCCGAATCGTAGAAAGAGGGTCAGAGGAGTGTATGTTTGCCAAAGACCTCCCCTCTTTCCTGGTTCCTAGCCCTGGAGCTAAACCTGAGGCGGCAGAGTTAAAGAGCAGGGGTCGCAGTGAGACGGGGGCGTCTGAAAGTGGAGAGGAGGGAGAGGAGGGAGGCCAGGAAGGCGACGACAATCCTTCGCCTTTCGGCATAAAGCTGAGGAGGACCAACTTCTCCCTCCGCTTTCACAGCGAACAGTCCAGTGAGAAAAGGAAGAAGCGCTACAGTGCTGGGGACAGCTTTGACGGCGTCCCCTCCCCGCTCACCCCCATGGAGACAGACTCTGATACCTCCTCTGTCTTTTCTGACAAATCCATTAGCCCATCATCTCCGCAGAAAGAAGGTGCGGCGGGCAAGTACTTACACGCATCTGCCTCCCCCGCTGCGCCTCGGGCGAAACCTGGAAAGTCTTCCAGCTCCAGCACACACAGCGAAGGTGAGAAAGTGCTTTCCAAGCCACCCATCTACAGAAGACCAACCACGTCACCCAAACCAAGTGGAGCCGTCCCCACCCCTCCCCCGTCGCCGCTGCCTAAGGAGGTCCATGTTGTTGACGCTGTGATTCAGAGGACAGGGGCCGCAGAGTCGTCCAGCCAGGAGCAGACCCTCAGGAGCGAGGAACATTCAGCGGTGGCTCAGCTTCACCGCAGCAGCCAGAGCCAGGTCCGAGAGGAGGAGGAGCCGAAGGAGAAGAGATCCTTCTTCCCCTCCATCAACATCCCCTGGAGAGAGAAGACAGACAGGAAGGCAGAGCTCATCAAGAAAGGTCAGCGCTACTTAGATATAGCACTATAGTTCTAATCTGGAGTCCTTGGTTTTTAATTTAACAAACATAGAACATAGTTCTCCGATAACAATAGTCGTTTTGTTTCTTTATTCATCGTCTGGTCATAAAAATATCGGGAAATAGCCCAAAATATTCATCCTAGTTTGTCAAAGTCCAACGTAGTGTCTTTAAATGTCTTGTTTTTTCAGTCCAAAACCATGAGATATTAAAGTGGACCTATCATGCTATATTTGAAACATATATTGTAGGGCCATACCTATATAAAACATGTCTGTGAAGTTTTTTTTTCAAAATACCAAACGGATCATGCATTTTAGCCATGCCTCATTTCGCTCTATTTGCTCTTTTCCAGCCCTGTTTTGGCAAGGGCTGATTCTGCTTTTGTGGCAGACTACAGCGCCACTTACAGGCCTGGCATATGTACTACAGCGTCTCCAGCGCTTTTGAGCGGTCTCTCATTCCCCTGATAGGTGGAGAGTTGCCCATATAGGCGGAGCACCCCTTTTCTGATGTCAGAAAAATTCAAATAATAATCAGCTCCGTTGCAGCCCCGTTTTTAGAGATTTGGGTATGGAGGAAAAGAGAGAGGGTTGTGTTTTCTGACACAGTGAAGATCGACTTACAGTAAATATAATAACAATAATAATAGATGTATTTTGTAAGTGCTTTTACAGGTGCTCAAAGTCGCTTTACAGAAATATGTAGCTATCTTAAACCAGTTAAGCCCCATGCCCCCGGTACCGGGGGCAAAACGCAACATCTAGCAAGAAACAGCGTCTGAGGGCTTCTTAACATTTAACAAACTATGAATGTGTCAAACCCACTTAACGGGAAGAAACTCAGCTATCGGACAATATTAACAATTTTTAGCTGAACAAAACACAAGGGTAATAACAAAGGCTCTGAATTAGCCCTGAGCGAAAAAATGCTAACTCACTTAGCACAGAACTCACGGTAAAATACTCTTATTACTTATCGGATCTGCACAAACAAGATATCGATTAGCAAGCTGAGATTCCACAGATTCCAGAAATATAAGTATCATCACTAAGCGACAGGGGAAGCAAACACAGACATCACACAACAGTGGCGTCGCCTGGCCTGGGCATCCGGGGCTTTAGCCCCGAATGTTTTTTCTGTAGCCCCGGACAATTCTCCCTCAATAATATAATACATTAACCGTGCTTTACGTGAACCTCATCATGACACAAGAGAGGACGGCAGGACTGTAATTTCCCATGTTCAGTGAATGCAACAGAGGCATGACACCAGACCAATCAGAGAGTTGCATGGAAATAAACGTGTGCTTGTGTCATTCAAGCTCGGCTCTGTGTGTGTGTGGCAAAAGCGCATTTAGTGTGAGAGAGAGAGAGAGAGAGAGAGAGGGACCGGTGCCAGCAGGGACCGTGTTGTTAGCATCTGGTTAGCTAGCTGATAAACGGACATCCACAACAAGCTGGAGGAGAGTCCTCTGCTGACAGACTGAGAGACTCAGGTGAGCTAAAGGACTCTCTGAGTGTTTAGATAGTTTACTTTAGTCTAAGTTATCTCAGTGGGTCTCCAACGGTTTGGTCACAAATGATTCAAAAGATAGATATGATCATTATAGTTATAAAAAAAATAAAGAGAATAAAGGAAAAACAGTTATGAAATACTATATGGCAGTAAAACAACAATAGAGTTTAAAAGGGGAGTGATTTGTAAAATATCCTTAAAGAAAAAGAAAATCTGTTTACAGTTCTGTTTCAAATGGGTGTTGAGAGATGTATCCATAGATCTCTTAATGTTGCTCTCAAAGTGCACCAGATTGATGCTTTTAACTTCAATATTTAAAAAAAAATCTTCCCGGGGGAGCATCCCCCCGGACCCCCCTAGAGGAGGTTAGGTCCCCCCCCCCCACTCATAAAAAATAGCACTTTACCCCGGCCTATATGCCGTGAGCTGATTATCGAGCCTTCATTGTAACAGTCGCGGGTATACTGTGAGTGTGCGTGTGGGGAGTGTTGCAGTAGAATATTCCACTGTAGCGCCGCCCCGAATGTTTTCAGGTCCTTTTTTTTTTTCAGGCCCTGTCACACAACATAGCTTTACGGAGCAAACACGGGAGAAATATCTTACCTTTTGCTGTTTTTGATCAAAAGTTGTGTTCAATGGCATTAAAACGATAAAAACGCTGCTGAATGTTAATCCAATGTGTCTGAAATGATTACTGATAATCCATCTTCATATTTATGTCAATAACGGAGTTTTCATATATAGCTGCTATGATAGCTACCAGAGTGTATGACAGCTTCCGGTTTTGGGCATTCTGGCTACGCATCACTCTCTTCACCGATGGGTAATGTTTAGATGGATTCTAGGAACTTCCCCTCGATTCTATTGGCTCCAAAGGTTAAAAAGAGATGTCAATCATCAAAATCGAATCGAGGGGGGCCGGAGATATGGAAAATGCACCCAAATGACCCCAGAAATGTTTTTATTTTGCTAAACCTCTCTAAAAAGGTCAAATGTCACTTGTTTTGCATCAATCTTGATACAGGGTACTTATTATATGTTGTAGTTTGGATTCCTAAAGCTTTTAGTCTACTATCCCATCATTCAAGGGTGGTTTTCATTATAAGTAAGGTTTTCTTTTTGGACGGACACTATAATTTAAAAAATGTTACTATGTTTAATCTGAATTTAGTTTAAAATAAAAAAAATCTATATTGATTCTGACTTTTCTACATCCAACTCACAGGTTTATCATTGCTTTGAGAAAAATATTATTAATTTACCCCTTTTAGAAGTGAAGATATAGGCAATTGTTCTGGGAATGTCATTTTCGAGCCTGAGGCCTGAAAAACAGGCTCGGGGCTCAACTGATTAACAATATTTAATATTTGAGAAACTTGGCTTTGATCAAATTATGTTTTGCCTCAGTAATGTATCAATCTTCCTTTGTCTTGCTGCAGAAAAACCATCCCTACAGAGCAGGCACTCACTGGACAGTTCGAAGGTCCAGGAGAAGGAGGGGCCCCTGTGGATCACACTGGCTCTGCAGAAGCAGAAGGGCTTCAGAGACCAGCAGCAGAACAGAGACGACCGCCGCAGCCACAGAGAGGCCAAACTGGCTGAGAAACAGGGCAGAGACAGTGTATGTGCCCCAGGCTAACTCTTTACACACTTTGTATTCTTTCTGACATTCAAATAATCTTTCAATATCCGTCTGCTCATATGGTCACCCATCTCTTCTGCAGGTTACGCTGGTGAGCCCCACAGAGAGCAGAGGAAGCGGCAGCACCAGTCCGTCCTCTAAACCTCAGACCCCAGAGGAGCCCAAGAGACCGGACAGCCTGCTGGGACGCTTTGAGAGGCGAGAACACCTGAAGAAAGCCAACACCTTACCCAGCTCTGTCACGGGTAAGACCTGCACGTCTAAGGATAGAAGATATATACTGCAGATATGATTATTTCAGTGAATTTTCTAAATGTATTTGGGTAAAAATAGTATATATTCCTATATGAAAATTATCCTAAAAATATTCAGATTTATCCATATTGGATAACATGTCAGCTTCAGCCATAAATCTATATTTCTCCATGTTGAAACTCTTAGATATTTCAACAATGTATTGATTAAAAAAATAGTATATCACACAAGGATAGAGCTGCAACAATTAGTCCATTTTGTAGATGACAAGAATTAAGAAATAATTGTTAAATGGAACATTTTCAACTTACATGATAGTAAAGTTAATATTTTGTGGCTTGACGGTTGGCTTGTCCAAGTAAGACTTTAGTCAATTCTGAAGAGCATTCTTTTTTTTTAAAGGGTTTCTTTAAAGTTTTAAAGACTAAATACTGTATATGGAAAAGATCATCTGGATACTTATGATAATGCAGATAACAACTGCAGCTAATTCAGTTTCATTTAACCTCTTTGATAAAAGCATTGAAACGGCTTTGTGGTATAACAAAAAGATGTGTAACGACTGTCCTTGATTTTTTTTGTCCCAGTTGAGATTGCAGACTCTACACCGTCGCCCCCTGCTGTCAAGGAGGTGTCAAAGCGCTTCCCCTCCAGTGACTCTCCGCAGGTCTCCACGGAGCCGGCCTGGCTGGCCCTGGCCAAGAGGAAGGCCAAAGCCTGGAGCGACTGTCCTCAGATCATAAAATAACTTCCCACTGGACTCTGGCCTGCACTGAGACTGCACACTGCCCCGGACTCTAAAGCACCTGAAGTGTCACCATCACCTGACCCCCCACCCCCCATGAAAACCCTCCTGACTGTGAAACAAGTAAAGCCCTCCATCACCTCGTAACCCCACACACACTGGCTGGTACTATTATCATGTTAAAGTGCGCTTCACATTTAAATACTTCAATACAATCGCACAGATATATGTAAACAATTGTTGCGCGCATGCACATTCTGTATACAAACACTAAATATGTCGCAGTCCGGGGGGCAGGAGCCAATCAAATCATGGCTGGCCATCGCAATAGCCAACCCCAATTTAGTTTTTTTATTTTGTAGCCAACTGTGTCACAATGGTTGTAAATAAATAATTTGCTCACACGTGAAAAGGTAAACACTTCTTTAGTGGAGAGGTGAAGCTCTGACATATGACAGTGTTTAATCAACAGAGGGTAACTGTCTGATTTGTTTTTTAAGGGCTACCAGTAACAATAAAACGACACGACACTGTTGGATCTGCTTTTTGACGTCTGATGGAAGTGTTACAGTTGTTGGTATTATTTATGTGAAGCAGCGGATTTATCTATGTTGAAACGATACTGCATCTTCTCTCTGAGCCTTGTTGGTCATGTACAAAATAAGCCTTTCTTTCTCTCTTTTTCTACTCATACTGGAAACCTTAGCATAACAATTCTCACTGTGTCCGTGATGACTGTGATAGCTGTCAAAGAGGCTATTGTGCCATTATAAAGTAACCTTACATCTGTCATTATCACACGGTGGGTGCACCTAAACACAGCACTGAAGACCAAAAGTGTTACTGGGCATTTACAGTGAACTGCACATGATCCTCCCCACAGCTGTGTGATGACGTGGTTTGGATTTATTTTGCTTTGCTAATGGAAACAGACACAACACCTGCTTGCTGTAACATACAATTCTTGTAGCTGTCCTCCCGCAACACACTAGTGTTTGTAGGCTTACGCCATCACTTCCTCGTAAATGTGATATGATCTTACACGATATTGTAAGCATTTCCTCCTATGAAAAAAAAAGAATCCTCCAGCTTTCTCATTTCCTGCCACTCACTAAATGATCTGTATGTATGTAAGTATGAACTGTACGGAAGTCAATGGCGTCTCCAGAGCTTCGGTCAGAAAGAGTCACTTTGTCATTTTGTTACTAACGGTCGTGGTCGTGCACAATAGTGTATTGTACGCAGTGTTAAATGTAACGAGAAAAATGTTTGGTATTATTTGCACTTTTTTTCCCACTTAGAGATATTCATGATGAAATTCCTAAAGAAACACAAAATGTTATGAATAATGTAAATTAAATACTGATGTCTGAACTGAAAGACTCATTATTTCCCTGGACTTTAATTAAGGTTGATTTCCCAAAGCATCCACTCTGACACAGATATAGAAAATCATCAGTGTTTATTATAAAAAAGTGTGCAGAAATGAATCTATGTGTCTTCTTTGACAGTCAGTTTTAAACAGTACACATAGTCATTGCGGCACCCGACTACGAGGGAGTGTTCATGCAGCACCGGGGATGAAAACAGCTCCCCGGGAAGAGTGAACGAGGCCAGCTTTCCTCCGTCTTCTCCATCCAGGATCCACACTGTGCCGTCTGTGGAGGCCAGAGCCACCAGAATCCCCCTGCGGCCCCCCACAGAGCCATCAAACACACACGGACTGGAGTACACCTTCCCTGTGGTCTGGAAAGTCCAGATCAAAGAGCCGTCTGCGGCGTTCAGGCAGTACAGGCAACCGTCATGTGATCCACACAGAACCCTCTGATGGTCCGGTGTAACGCATGGAGAGGAGAAGATGGGTCCTTTTGTTAGAAACTGCCAAACCTGCAGAGAAACACACATTGTTAAATAACTTGCCCAATTTGCAATAATTGCAATCCTTAAAATGGATAGTAAAGATTTTTTAAGTTGGGTTTTAGGGGTTGGACTTCCATTAGATGGTGGTTTGAGAGCCCCTGCCTTTTTATAAAATTGACAATTTCAGTAAAAAAATAAAATCACTTAATTTAAGTGAACACTGTATACATATTTGTACCGCTTTACCTTGGGGAACTAAACCCATTATCTATGCTCTCTTTAAAGCCATCAGATTGCATTGAAAAATAACAATTTTAATTTGCAGGACAAACAAGTTGTACAATTAAGTTTTTTGTCAAATAGGCTGGTGGATTTGAATATTTTAAATATATTGTTCAATTAAACTGATATAAATGTTTTTAAGGTGGGCATTTATTTAAGCAGGTTAATTTGATTTTCTTCTGCGTTCGTCCACAACGGTACATTGTTTTACTTTCAGCATGCAGACCACCATCTAGTGTACGTTATGCACTGACTATGGGTCAATGATGAAAAGCCCAATAAACAAAGATCGAACTATCCCTTCAGGATCTCAGTCCTGACCACACCCCTGGTCACTGGTAGTGTATAACATGTTACATCGGGGGAAATAAATAAGTGTTAGTTTCCTCACCAGAGTCCCTGTGTTGCTGACGCAGCAGATGTTTCCATCCACGGAGCCGATCAGCACGTGACCAGAGGAGGCGTTTGGTGATGAGAAGAAAGGGACGTCTCTACAGTACGACCACAGGACCTCTCCACTGTCCTGGAACAGCAAAAACTAAATGCGTCAAAATGTCCTTCACCTAACAAAATGACAAAACAGTTTCCTGAAGTTTGTTATTATCTTTACTCACAGGGTCAAGACAGAGGAGATGACCTCCCAGTGAAGCCACATACAGCTGTCTGAGTGACGAGTGGAGGCAGGGGGATGAAAACACAGCCCCTCCCCTACAGTGACGCCTCCAAACACACTGCTGAACCTAAAAGATAACATGAATTGAACTTAATTTATCTTCAATACAATTAAAAATACATGCTTTTACTTCTTAGTTATTCCCAGAGAGTTTTAAACTAACAATGAAAACAAAACGGTTGATCCTTTCTGTGTTTTTATCAGCTGTAAAACCATTTCCCCAACATGAAAGAGCATGAAACAAGACACATGCCACAAAACATTTAAAGCTTCCAACCTTTGGGTCCAGGGCGTAGACGTGGCCATCATGTGAGCCCACGATCACCAGCCCTGTGAGGGGGTCCACAGCAGGACAGCTCTTCACAGCGTCTCCAGTCTTAAACATCCACCGTGTCTGTCCAGATGCAGTGCACAGGAAATACACAAAGCCATCGTAGCAACCTGGGAAAATCCATGAAAAAACATTAAAGAATTCTAAATTAAACAGAGATTTACACAATATTCTGAGAGCTGGTACCGACCTATCACCACGAGGCTCCCGCAGTGAGACACAGCAGCTGAGGCTTCGATTCTGTCCCCGAGGACCCGCTCCCACAGAAGGCTTCCGGTGGTCAGGTCTAAAGCCTGGATCCTGTGAGAGTGGGAGCCGATGAACACTGTTGTTTTAACCTCCTCTGATCCTGAATCTGTTTTCTGTTGTACTAGAAGCACCGGGGAGGCGTCCACACATCTGCCTGTGTCTGAGGACCAGGTCAGACTGAGGCTCAGAAAATCCTCGCTTCCTCTATCACTCAAATCCTTTTCTCCAAGTGCTTCAGTCTGGACGTTTTTAATTGCTACTGGTTTTCTGATTTCTATAACCTCCCCTGCTCGTCGTATAACTTTAAAAGCCCATGTCCCCCCCTGCGGTCTCTCTGCTGCTGTAGACTCTGTGCGCTCTCTCTTTGCTTCCACCATAGAGGGGGCTTCAGTACGTCGTTTCTTGGCCTCAGATGTCGGTGACTGGCTCTCCTCAAGTGGCGGCAGCAGTGTTATCCTCTCAACATGGCGCAGTACGTCAGAGAATGTCCCGTCAAGAATCACCTCCAAAAGCTCCGGTGAGGTCACTCTGAAAGCAGTGAGGATGTCTTCACAGAGGTGCAGCGCCTTCAGAGAATCTCCTCCACTCAACAGGAAGTTCGATTTCTCGTCGATAGTCGGTTCTTCAGGAAGACCTAGAGTTTCCTGTTGATAGGTAGTTGAGTTTACACATACTGAGGGAACAAAAGCAATCTGTGGTATATAAGACTTTTGCATCTTCTTTAAAAAGCTGCTCATATGTCATTAGAGGACAACCATTTATGACTCAAAAACCTAGCATGAACGATATGTTTATATTATTTTCCACGTTTACAGAGTTAAATATTCTAACCAACTTTGGTACAGATACAAATAACTTTAATACCACTGTATTTACATTACTGTTGTTTCCTTTAAAATAAAATGATAATAAAGCAGCAATAACCCTTGTTGAAACCAGGAAAACTGCATGTTTTTTCCAAAAGGGTTAACATGAGATAATGGCTCAATCTGGATGAAAACAGTAAACATTTGAAGCCAAGGTAATATATTGAAAGCCTAGTATAATAGAATTTGTAATTGTATGTTGTAATGGCATTGTGATAACATGTGGTATAATACAAATATTTAAGGTTGAGGCTTAGGTTGAACTTCTAAATGAGAATTACACACACCATAACCAAAATGTATGTCATGTGCATTAATGTGGTCAAAATGAAAAAAAAAAATTGTTGCACAAGGGTTCAATTGGAGTTATGTTGGCAAAGTATTGAAAAACAGCTCATACCTGCCACAAGGACTGCAAGCTTTGCCTGAGTTTGGTGACATCTCCCCGTGAAGACTGTAAACACCGTCTCTGTCTTTGGTATATTTTCACAAGGGCCTCCATGTCCACTTTTCCTGTGATAAACCAAACAGAAGGATAACTTAATTAGTGATGGTCATCATGGTCCTCCTCTATGTAACTGTTACTTCAATGCTCACCATGAGGGCTCAGGCACAGGGCCGGCACCTGCACCAGCGTGTCGGGGACGCTGTGAGAGGGCAGCAGCAGAGACAGCTGGTTCAGGATCAGTCTGCGAAGATCTCCATCTGCACCGCCTGTCTCCCCCTGGTGGTGACTCACAGCAGAGGGGGGGTCTTCCTGAAGCTCGGCAGAGGGTGTTTGTTCTGGATGCTTCTGTGCAGATGTGAGCGGAGAAGCTTCTTTCTGGTCTCCAGATGTGGATGGCACGACAAAGGCGAGCAGTCGGGTGGCTTCAAACAGAGCCACAGCGCAGGCCTCCACCTGAGGCAGACCCAATATGAGCTGGAGAAGCACAGGAAAAACATTAATTCCTCGCCAGTTCTTTCCTGAACCATTATAAGACGTGCTATATTTACAGTCAGATCACACCCCCTTAATTCAAACCATAACACATTTTTTATCCAGTGTTTAAATCAACTTTTTTTTAATAAAAATAAAATAGTTGAATTTACAAAGTTGCCATAGATTTGAGAAGACGTTGGGTTTGTTCATGTACTTGTAGAAAAATAACCCTTTCCAGGATTCTTCAACATAAAAAACACATACATACACAACAAATACTTTATGAGTGGGATTGACAACCTTTATAATTTCTTATTTTCTTAGGATTTGCCTTTGATATGAGTATTTTGATGTTGCCCAGTGGTGGATTTTCTACATCAACTTAAAACTTTGAGAACTATAAATGACACTAAACATGAATGAATTTGTTTATTTGGACGATACAATATATACATAAAACACCTCTTACTTGTTGCAAGCTGTCCAAGTTCACCTGCTTGCCATGGCGTTTAATCATCCTGTCTCTGCGTCCCAGGTAGTACAGCTGTGTGTCCTCAACATTCACCCAGTCTCCTGTGGCTCTCATCGTCCCGGAGACAACTTTCTGCTCATCGTCAAGGAGACACACCCTGTCCTCTCCACCTGCAGCAGGGATCATAAGGAGATGTGTTTATTTCAGAGGAATAAGATTCATAAGATTTGTCAATGAGATATTTTATACCTATGAACACCTGTCCTTCACCCTCGGTAACAATGCGGCCATGTTCGTCTCTTACTTCCAACACTGTGTCCATCAGAGGAGTCCCAAGAGGCACAAATGGCAGCACGCTGAAAGGCATGTCATGTTAAATAAAATGACTACATGTAGATTAAAAAAATACTTTTAATCAGAGTACACTCACGGGTTGCCAGACTGCAGTAGAGACTCTGGTATTTTGTAACAGCTGGCCCAGCAGGACACCTCTGTAATGCCATAGATATTGTAGATGTGTGTTTTGTTGTCCTCGTGTCTCCAGTTCCTCAGCAGAGCAGGAGAGGGGCAGGCCTCTCCACCCAGAGCCAACACCCGCAGAGAGGAACCGGATGAAAAGACTTCATGTTTGAGGATATGGTGCCCAAAGCGGCCGAGCAGCGTTGGTGTGACCTGCAGAAACAAAAATACATTATAGAGGCCAGAAAGTAATCAAAGCAAAGAGCAGTTTCTTCACACTTGCCTGAAGGACAGTCGTCTTGTGATCCTTGAACAGCAGCCGAGCAAGTCGACTGGGCATTTTCTTAATCACAGACGGGATAATGAGGAGCTGAGCCCCGGAGGATAAGGCTAGGAAAATATCCACCACAGAGGGGTCAAAGGTTAGAGGCGAGGCGAGGAGAACCACATCATCTGCACTCATCTGGAACAAAGATCTGAGCCAAGAGAGCAACTTTTAATATGGATCTACAGAACAATGCTTAATGGATCAATAAAGAGAGAAATACTCACTTCAGATGCAGTATATTAGGGATTATACACTTGTGTGGCACCCTCACAATCTTCGGCAGGCCAGTTGTTCCAGATGAGTGTAGGACATACGCCAGGTCTCGGTGGGCAGCCTCCTTAAACCCTGCAGCTGGAGCAGCACAGAGATCAGGCCCGTCCGCTGTCTGAGCTCCGGTGTGTTTTGGTCCCGGGTGGTGCTCAGCGACGGGAAGCAGCTTGATTTGTGTCAGGGTTAGTTTGAACTTTTGCAACTCCGCACACACCTCCACAGATATGTGTTTGGCGAGAGCGGCCTGGAATTGCTTTACAGGAGGAGGAACAAAATAGATTGATTACTCTTCAACAGATCGTGAATTGAAATGTTAATATATAATAGAGACAACTAAAGTGTGTATGTCAAGAAAGGGATTTACATGACACATTAAAAAAGGCAATGTTTAGGCTTTAAGATACCATTTGCACTTTATTGAAACAAACTCAGAAATGGTATTGCACTTAGGCTTCAGGAGTTTTGTCCAATACCCCCCACGTTCTTTGCATATCATTTTGTTTTGATATGTATTTACATTACACGAGTAAAGAAAAATAACAGCTAGGTGGGGACTGGATTAAAACGTATTTGTTAGCCCTTTCGTATTGTGTCAAAATCCACTTTAAAGAGGTTAATTTTTTAAGTTTAAATTGTGCCCAAAATATGAAGATGTATTATTGTTAGCTTCTGGGTCTCTGGAATAAAGTTGTTTGGTCTGCCTACCCTGATCTTTAGAGGAACAATATTGCTGATGTATATAGATCATTATCAAGTGTTTGCACAACAAGTAATTATCACTACTGTTGTATTTGTGTTCATATGAATTAAATATGAAGTAACCTGCAGCATGTCTGTCTTCACAGCACAGTACTTGAGGCCACACTGTGTCATGACTCTGGCAGAGAGAAACCCTGGAGCCTCCGGGTCCAGCGGGACATAGGCAGCAGGAGTCTGCAGGATCCTGGCAAACAACACAAAACAATTATCATTTGCATATTTAACTGCTGCTCACCGAAGTCATTACTACAGAAGAGGATTAGGGCCACATGAGAAACATTGGGATGTGACAAAAAGTAAAACAAAATTGAGTCTAGTTCTGACATTCATCTCAGAATTCTGATTTTATTCCCAGTATTCTGACTTTTTATCAAAATACTGAGTTTAAGGTCAGAACATAAACATATATTTTACTTTTGGTCATCCCAAAATAATGTTCTCATGTGGCCCTTATCATATTCCGTACATTAAACATATGACATGGCACAGAGATTCATAAACTGTTTATGCTACAAACTAATTCTGCTGTGTTTTGAAGGAGAGTAGTAAACTTAATCAGTGAACTCACCCCAGAATCCAGACAGGAATAAACAAATCATCACAACAATACAGCCCAATCACTCCGGTATTGGGAGAGCAGTTCTTTTGTAGAACATGGGACAGTTCACAGGAGAGATCCAGCAGGTCTCTGTACAGCAGCACCGACACCGAGCCGCTGTCATACTTCACAGCTGGCCGGTCTGGGTGCAGAGAGGCGGCGATAGAGACCAGCTCCTGCAGCGTCCGGGCAGCCATCCTGAAAAGACCCTCAATAAATACAATACCATGTTCTGTTAGGGCCGATCCCGACAAGAACAATATCTGAAAACCATATTGTAATTCATAAATTGTTCAGTTTTAGCGAATGAGGTTTTGTTTTTGAATGAAGAGGCGTTGGGAACGTGTTATTGTTTGTCGCGTGAAGATGACGTCATGCTAAGGGCTATTTCAAATGCTTCTGTTATTGTCGTTCATCACACCATTAGGATATTTTCACGTATAACGATTTATTTTAACAAGATTTAAATCGTACATTTAAATTGTTTGATGTTTTTCAAAAATGAGAAACAACAGTAAGGGCGGTAGGTAGACGGGCAATAATGTTGCCCTCCAAATAAATTATGCGCACTAAATGTTGTTGCATATCACTATGTTGACACATACACACATCCCCTCCAACACATAATTTATACATACATTGTGTAACTCTGAAAAACAATATAAATACAACGTTTCTACATAACGTTTAATGATAGTATTCAACAACGATTTTCTGGAAAGCAATTTTTCCTAGCAACAGTGAAGGCCACCCTGTCCAATCATTGGTCTCTATTTCGTGGAGAAATCATTTTGAATCTGATAGCGCTTTTTTCATCAGCTACTGTACCTTGCTGCTTTCACTACCCATCAACATCAAGAAAACGGGATTTAAAACAACATGGACGTTGGGCAAAGACTATATTCTAATACAGTTCACTACAAAACGTCTCTGGAACGAATCATAGACAAGGTGTGTTGATGAGGCTTGCTATCGGGATAGCGGTGGCTACGTTACTGTTAGCATGAAGTAGCAAAGCTGACGTTAGCTTGAACTAACTTTAAATAATCTTCAGAGATAAATTATGAAAATACTAAGAGTTTACTTAACGTTACCTCTGCAATTGCTTTTAACAGTATTCGAAGCTTCAATACCACGATGCGGGGCAAGAGGTGGACCTCTACAACACCAACGCCTGTAGTAAGTTGACTACACATTTATTAAGTTATACCATTGGTTCTCCCAGCGTTTTCATACTAACGAGTTTAACAGAAAACCATTACAGTACAGCATTGATGACTTTTGTTACGCCAAAAGGTGTTGAGCTACATATTACTGATCATATTTACCACAAACACATTTAATAATCAGTGCTGTAAATGTACTCAAGTACTGTGCATAAGTAGAATTGTGAGATATGTGTACTTTACTTGAGTTTTTCAATGTTTTGCTACTTTGTACTTTTACTCCACTACAATTATTTAACACCTTAAGTCACTTTGAAGATTTGGATTAATGATGTGAGATATAAACAACACTTAAATATAAGACTTTAGTTACACCTGGAGTAGAATTACAAACTACCCTCCAGTATACAAAGGGATTAGCTGCACCTTTAACTGCTGCGATAAACACTTTAATGCATCAATAAGTATAATCAAAACATAGAATATATATTATTTTGTAATGGGACAATTTGCATAATGAGTACTTTTACTTTTCGTACTTTAAGTATATGTTGATACTAAAACTTTTCTACTTTTACTTTCCTACACTCTGGTACTTTTACTTAAGTACAGGATTTGAGTACTTCTCCCACCTCTGTTAATAATGAATGATTGAACAGGGTAATTGTAAAAATCATATATCAAAATGTACAGTTTTCTGCAATGACCCTAAAAAAAGAAGGTCTTTCTGTTGTAGACTTGGTATGTGATTTTGGTTGTATGTAACCTTAAGCTCTGAGAATTGTTACCACTTGTCAATGTTTTTTGACTAAATTATCAATCAAGAAATTTGACTGATGAATAAATAGTGAAAAGTCAGGGATTTATAATTAATTGCCATGTGGCCTGGTCTCATTGTGAATCTGTTTTGTCTTGACTCCTTGCATGATGAAGCCCTTGAACGCTACATGGAGCTGTCAAAGATAGAGCTCAACAAGCTGGATTCAAAGGTTTGGGTGGTGGCAGTTTATCCACTGTATTCAGATATTAATTATATATGTACATCTTTTATAATGGAACACTTATCTTCTCCTCAGAGCATAGAAGAGTTGAGAGAGGAGTCAATAAGCTGTAAGTATCCATAACTAAAACGTGAAAAGCTATTTAGAGATTTTTGTAAACTGTATATTTTTTCATTTGATTACTTTCATATTACTTCCCACACAGCCCAGGACATCACAGGAACCTCTCAGGTAAATAGACCTCTGTGTTTATTGTAACAGTTCAGTCTTGACTATATTAGTATGTTTAATGTTTTGTTTATTTTATTTTCAACAGTTAGACTTCACGTATCAAGATGGCAGTGCTGATGCCTCCTGTTCCGTTATACACATGTCGGTGGAAGATGATGGTAAGAGCAAGAAAGCAATGGGCATTTTTTTAAACAAACCATGGCAGATAGAGATTGTGGAAACCTTGACTTTTACTTTTAAAGGTTGTAGAAACCCTGCAATTAAAAAAAGTATATAATTGCTGGTATTTTTTTTTGTTCCCTTCTCCTCCTTAAGGGGTGGCTAGCAATGAAACGACTCACCTGTCCGCGGTCTCATTGGATGAGAGTCAGAGAAACATTTCTTTTACAGACTTCCAGCCTGAGGACCAAGATGAAGAGCTGAACATGAGCCTGAGGAGTCTTGGCAGTTCTCTAGTGGAGCTGTACCCCAGCATGATCAGCCGATTAGGGCAGGCCTGTCGTCGGCAGCAGGTCTCTAAGGCTGCAGACTCTGTGCTGAGGAGATACCGCAGATGGCGAAGGCAGTCAAACAGAAGCAATGTGAACAACACCTTCAATGTCACGCTGAAATACACCAACAGAAAACCTAAAAACATGACCGACCAGATGCTGCTGGAGGAGAACACCAACAGCCCTGTGAAAAGGCAGTTCATGGTTGCTGAACCTACCCATCGGTCTCCCTTGAAGATAGTTAACAAAATTCAGGATTGGCAAGTCCAGCAGCAGTCTCCTAGGAGGGAGAGAAGAGAGCATCCCATTGTCGCGATGGACTTTGGTCCTGAGACTTTAATGCAAACAGAGAGCTGTCTGAACGAGACCTTCACTGTCTCTGAAGCATCCCAGCTGCAAGAACAGCCCTCCATTTACATGGTCAGTCCTTCACGACCTTGCTATCCTGCTGCAAGAGCATCCTTGGACGCGTCTCTCAGGTCTAGAAGGTATTCTCTTTCTGCACACCCACTGCAGACTGATGGCTGCTGTGTGTATGCTTCGGACCCCCCCCCCTGTTAAAGAGAGACTGGACATCTACGGCTCTCCTGTCAGGAAGAGTTCCTTAGAGGCCAGGATGGTGACCGACCTCAGATCACCTCAGGCCTTTTCCAGAAGCCCCAGAGCACATGCTGTGGAAAGCTTTTCCAGAGAGCCTACCAGGCCCAGATTACTGTCCACCCCGCCACAAAAGCCAACTGTGCTATTGAGGATGCTCCACCCTCAAGACTCCCATCTTTCCCCCCACCAACAGCTGCATTCCCCTCAGTCAGCCTCAGCAAGAGAGAGTCGCCACAGGCTCCGGAGGAACCTGTCCTACGACTCCTCCCTGCCATTATTGCGGGCCCCTTACTCCCCAAAGAAGCTCGACGAGGACTTTCTAAAGCTCTACCACAAGTTTGTCTGCCAGAACAAGTCCTCTTTCTTTAATGGGATTTCCTGCCGCCTATGTGCGAGAAGCTCTGAGGCCAGCAAAAGCTCCTCTTCCTCGGCTATTGCAGCTCTCGCCCTGTCGCCACACCGCTCGGTCCTGAGGAAACGCCACAGGGAGTTATACTGGGACAGCCAGCCCCAGTCGAAACGCTACAGGGACGAGTTCGGCCCGTCGTCTCCCGGGTCCGCACGGCACGGGAAAGAGCTTCTGAGGCGCCGTCTCGCTCCGTATGAATATGAGCAGTCCCATGATGGCGTCTCAGATAGTGCCACTAAACCCAGCATGTTTCAAAGATTCAACACCCAGCAGCGCTCAGCAGAAGCACATCAGGAGACCTGGATGAGTCAGCGCCACCATGTGTCTGCAGCTGATTCTTATGACATGGGTGAGCCTGCTTTGTAAAACACAATATTATACTGCAGGATACTTTATTTATGTCCAGTCTGATGTTTAAATTGAGCCATTGTATTAATTTGACCCATTATTACGCTTTTTTTCTACAGGAAGTTCACTTGAGAACAGAAGAAACAATGGCTGCTCTCCCAGGTGATTGTAATGAACTCTGTACAGTGTTGGTTTTTTCTATGCAAGCCCATTGCTGCCAATGTGACGAAAGAAAAAAGTTCAAGTAGGTCATATAAGAAACTTTCCTGGAATAATGACTCTGTTTTTAAAAAAATGAGAAACTTCAATAAATTGAATTATTTTGAGACAGCTTGTCATTCTTTGAGATAAATACTATAGAATGGAGTTCAGGAACAAGTCTCATGATTTAAAGACACTTAAAGGTCCCCTATTATACTCTTTTTCTAAAATATATTATAGATCTTAGATATATACAAAACATGTCTCTGAAGTGTTTGGCTCAAAATACCAAACAGATCGTGCATTGTAGCATCCCATAAACCCCTCTGTTTCAGCCCTGTTCCAAAAGTGCTGATTCTGTATCTGAAGCTTTAAAGGCTAATGAGCTGCAGGTGGCCACGCCCCTCTGAGAAGTGTTTGGTCTAAAAAAACTCAATGATCTGGGGGGGGATTCAGGTGATAAGGTGGGCGGGTGTTACGTTGGTTGGTTATTGGCTAACGGTTACACAACCCAAAAAAACATTGTGACATCACAAAAAGGCCAAAATCTGATCAGCTCATTTCAGACATGTTTTTATATAAATGGATCAGGACTAAAGTGAGAGAATCTCTTAACACAGAGGGGACACGTATGTATACATTAGACATGAAAAACTGGATTTTGATTGATAGGTGGCCTTAAATCATTATTTTGAGATACTAAGCCATTACTTTCATAACATTTTCTAACATGATTTTTTTTCATTTCATCACAAGGCTTAGTTTCAAACTTGTTTCTTTTACTGGCAAAGATGGGATTACCAAGTTTGTTTTTGTGCTTCCGAGTATTGATTTGTTCTCATTACCCTATTTTTTCAGAAAATGGTGTTGAAAAAGGATTACTGCGGCCTGCCAACAAAAGAAGGAAAACCATTTTTTAAGGAAAGTTGCTTATGAAATATTGGTGAAAATGAAACACATTTTTCTCTCAGTGAGCCAAGGATTTTATATTTCTAAGCGGCTGTCACATGTTCATTAGCTTCTCATCCAAGTTGGTGTCTGGATGTTTAATACAAAAACAGTCAAAGCTATCTATTTTATTATGATTGTTACTCTTAGTTCTCTAAACCTTTTAATTGTTGTGCTATGATACATCTATACCTGAGTTAATAACATTTGTTTTTTTGATCGGTTCTTTAAAATAAAATTGTCAGTGTCAAAATGCTGATTTTGAACAAAACCATAAGATTCTTTGATTTGCAGTTATTGTGTTTATTAAACTTTCCATTATATTTCATGCAAGTTTTAAAGTTAGGACAAAAAAATATCGAACAGTCAGACCGAAAAAGAAAAGCATGGTTAATTTCAGGCAAAAGGAGAAAGTCATAAACGTGATATATAAAATAAAGAAGAGTTTTCTCTTTTGGTCACGAGCCTTGTGCGCTTTTTTGACATGGAAGGTGAAAACTAGTATAAAGACTTTTATGAAAAATTCATTTACATGGTAACTTTCAAAAACAAATAAAAGGCATGACATGAGGGAAGTAAACAGACTAAACTGCAGCAAGAAGAGACTCAGTAGTGGAGGTTATCCAAAGTAACATTTTCAACATAAGGAAGAGTTTAGATGTGAAGGTTGTATGAGCTACTTCAGCCGGTGAATACAGAATATAACTGTCTGCATGTCCTCAGTTTGGAGAAACGGCAAAGCATTGTACTGCTGGGGACAAAAGTATACTTTAGCCACCTTATTGACAATATTTTCAACAAATTACTTTGTAGTAAGACAGCCTTTTCTGAGGGGGAACTGCAGCTGTTATATGTAGTCATGTGTATGCCACAGGTTTTAGGTGGCTTAAATGCATTTTGGCTCTGCCCAGAACATGTAATTGCTTGTCCAATTTTGGGGCATGCTGGATGCCATCAGGAAATTCACCTATCATGTTGAAGTAACTCATACAATCTCACCTCAAAACATCCAAATTATTAGTCTAGATGACAGCATCCGAGCAGGACAATGACACTCTGTAGAGAAAGAATACGCCGTTTGTCTTTAAATACATCTTTTAGTGTCCCAGATAGCAGTATTGAAATCCTTGAACACTTTTCCAGTCCAGAGATTTAATTCACATGCATCAGCAGTACTAGGAGCCCACAGTACAGCCACAGAGCTGCTGCAGTCGCTCGTCGTCATGGCGTTACCACTCCAGCTCCACCGGGTACTTCCCGGTCAGACAGGCGGTGCAGTGGCCCACTCTCTTGCCGGACGTGTTGCTGGTGCTGATCATCTCGTCCTTCTCCTTCAGGGAGGCGATTCCCTCCTGAACGGCGGACACCAGGCCCTCCACAGTGAGATACTTAACACTGGCAGCACCTACACAAACAGTTCAAGTATTTATGAGATGAACTAAAGACACAATGAGGCAGTAAAGATCAAGTGGGAAGATGGCACAAAAACTTAAAAATGTGATGTCCTGCATTCAAAACATCACTTAAAGGTGGGGTATGTAATTTTGGAGAAACCAGCTCGAGTGCGCTAGAATTTGAAAATACACAACCGGAAAAAAATCTGCCACTTCCTTTAGACTTCCTTACAGAGCCCCTCCTCCAACACACACAAACGCGCACATGACCAATAAGGGCACGAGATAAGTTTGTGCACAGATGGAAGGCTGACAGGCAGGTAGGCCATCCAGTTATTTTAGCCGGGCCGGCTAAAATTATTGGTCGTGCTTTTTACAGTACTACGGCTTCCACAGATGACATTTTTTTATGTATTTATTGTCAAAGCATTTAATATATTCATTGCTATCGGGATGTTAAGAGCATTCCATGGAATATAACAAAAAGTGTTTCTGAAATAAATTACATACCCCACCTTTAAGAATTATTAAGTATTATCAGCAAAATGAACTTGTATGTTCCCTGTCAGTGCTTGAATATTATACATGATGCTTTTGGAATAGCATTTCTGCAGCATGCTCCTTTAGTTTTTTTTATAGCTTATGTAGAATAGTTTTTCAACACAGAACACTTCAACTATGAGTAGAAGGAAAACTTGTATCTAATATTTCCTTCTGAAATGTAAAGAAGTGTGTGGAAGTATTAAGTTGCAGAAAATGGAAATACTCAAGTACCATGGATCTGTACTTAAGTACAGTACTTTTACAACTAGAATAATTTGGCCCTGATATAAAAACTTTTTTTTTTAATTGTACAGCTTTGCCAGACAGATGTATGAGTTATATTAGTTCTTACCAATGTATCCGGCAATGTCCTGAAACTCGGGCTTGTTAGCGATGAGCTCCTCCTTGGTGGGAATATTGATGCCCATGTAGCAGGGGTATCTGATCGGTGGAGAGGCAACCCTGATGTGAACCTGTCAATGACACAATGAAAGGTCAGACTTTGGTCCAGGTGAGTTAGTTGGAAGACCCTCTTAACTTCACCTAAAGTGTTAAGCGGCATGTGCATTTCTTGTGTTTTTAAGTTTTTGCTTTTGATCATTGTCCTGCCCACAGATCAACCCCTATTAAAACATTGAGTGTGTCATATCAGCATATAGACAGGAGTGTGTGTGACATCTCAAGTCAACTCACCTCTGTCGCACCGGCCTCCTTCAGCAGTTTTATAATGGGGGAGATGGTGTTGCCTCTCACGATGGAGTCGTCAATGAGCACCACCCGCTTCCCAGCAAAATTGTCGGTCAAAGCCCCAAACTTCTTGGCAACTCCTAGCTGCCTCAAGCGGGTATTCGGTTGAATAAACGTTCTCCCGACGTAGCGGTTCTTACACAGAACCTCTACGTATGGCAGCCCAGACTGTGAGAGTGGGAAAAGAAGAGATACAAAGTGTTGTAAGGACAGATGTAAATCAGGAGGTGGGTGTAGTACAGCATTTCTTTACAGAGTTTGAGCAGACAGCTTGTACACAGACCTGCTGAGCGTAGCCCAGGGCTGCAGGAGTTGCAGACTCTGGCACAGTGCTGACCACGTCTGCGTCTGTTGGAGCCTCGATGGCTAACTGCCGACCACAGCGCTGTCTGACGGTGTACACCATCTGCCCTGCAGCAAAGAGGTAGGAAATACTCACTATGCAACACTTAAGTTAATACACACAAAGTATTCCAATAATTGACAAGAAAGTTAAATAGTTCAGACCAGAGAGGTCTGAAGCAGTAATTCATGGTCTGTGATTCAATTATTCAAAAGATTATATATAACTTTTTACAAAGGCCTCATTGTTTAACATACATTTTAATTCCAAAAACATAAATGGTATTTTATTTAACATACCATATTTAGAATCTGTGTTTTATTTACCCTATGTATACCCCACAAGTTAAATCCTTTACACTTTATTTGATCTACATGATACTTACAGTACAGTAATTGAATCAGTTGTATTGTTTTATGGGTAATCTGTTTTGAGATGGCGCAGATATTTCTAATACATGTCTTATATATGTTCTTCTCTTGTGTTGTTCTTTCACATAACTAACAATATCAATGTTTTCAATATATGTCAATCTTTTTCAAAGGGCATACATAAGGAGGTTAGCATATTCTCTATATTTTAAGAATAAAAAACAAAAGAGAAATTGAGCTATAAATAATGGTCCATAACAAATATTCAAACCTTCAAAAATAGAGTCCGGTCTGGCAAAGTAAACATATTCAAATATGCAGAAGGCGGGGGGGTCTCCCTCAGGGCGCGGGACGACACTCAGAGACTTGACTCCGTGTTTGGATATCTGCACTATCTCTCCTGGTAAGACCTCTCTGTAATACCTGAGAACCAGAAATGAGATAGAAATGGTCAAAACCCACAACACTTCTATTATAATGCAGAATATATGACATGTGAGGCAAGAACTGACTTGGCTCCGATTGACTGGAAGCTGCAGGACTCTGATGACACGACCCAGCCCTCGGTGTCCTCCTCTCCTGCACCGGACCAGAGATAAAGAATGAAGTTAATCATCCACAACTTTACACTTCTGACCTCTGACGAAATAATGCTCTGAGCACTGATAAGCTCCTTTGATGTCATGTGTTTATCAGTAATAGTAGTTAGGGTCTTTTTAGGACAAACATGCAGTGTCTCTGTTGTGACGGTCACAGAATCTGAATACCTGAGTGCAGCTTAGAGACGGGAACAATCCGTCCAATGCAGAGGGGGCGATTTCCGTAAGGGTCACGCACCGCATAGATAACATCTTTGAACATCACCAGCAGTGAGTACGATGTAGGGGTCTCACTCATCAGATTTTTAATTCTAGAAAAAAAAAAAGTAAAATCGAATAGGATATTTGCTTTTGTTGCATTTATCCAGCATGGAGTCCAGACACTGACCTGGCGACCCAGTTTGGTGCGTCCCGCTCCTCCATAGGTGGAGTCAGTGCCAGCAGCTGGGTGATGAGCTCACTGTCTGAGCTGGTGGAGAGGCCCACTCCGTGACGCATTACCTACACAGCAAATTCACAATGATCGATTCAGAGAAAATATATGGATAGAGATTCAGACAATACTGTTAGACAAGTGTTATATCACGCAAGCTAATGCCCATTTCCTTGTTTTTATTTGTTCATGTTTTAAATAAAGTTATGACACACAATAATAACACTGATAGATTAAATAGTTTTAAGAAACATTGTATATAAAGGCCTTGTTTTTTCCTTCAACAAAGATTTTATTTCGGTGACCAAGGAAGGGCCGTTGATAAATAACAGTTTAAGTGAGTTAAGGGGCCATCCTCACCTTTCTCCGCAGGGCAAGAGCATTAACCAGCTCTCCATTGTGTGCTACTGCGATCTTGCCATGCAGTGTATCCACCACAAAGGGCTGGCAGTTCTGCAGCTCTGAGAACCCAGTAGTTGAATAGCGAGTGTGACAAATACCCAGGTTACCAGAGCGCAGTTTCAGAAGAGCCTCTGGAGGGCAAGCAGTGCTCACTAATCCCATTCCCTAGAAAAAGAAAAACACAAAGAATTGGTGAGATGTTTTCAGTGACACAACTAACAATAAAGGTTAATAGTGTTGTGCAGCCATAATGTTGTAGAGTGGAAAACCAGGTCACAATCTGATGGACAAACCAGCACAACCAAGAAGGTCAAAATCTGGTTGTATTGCCAAGTAGGTTAACACAAACAAGAAATTGGCTTTGGTGTATAATGGTGCTCACATAAAACACAGCAAGATACATTCAATTGTATAATAAGATAAATCATTGTCATTTTGTGTATATGTTTGTGACAATTTTTATTTACATTCAACTTTAATGAAAAGTAGATTAAATGTTTCCTGCTTTTTTTAATAAAGCGAGTTAAACTCACACTGTGCTGGTTTGTTTATAAGCTTCTGATCATAACCAATGTTACCTTGTGGGTCGTGTATGTAGGCGGACTGGCTCCATTACTCACGACAAAGCCGGCACTTTCCTGACCCCTTAGTAGACACAAACAATCACATGTACAATTTAAAACAGTGTAAATATATCAGTAGAAAGTCAGTTTTACAATTAATGATCCCTCAGTGTATTTTTGCAAGTCAAAACATAAAACATGAATAAACATGTTCAATTATAAACCTAAATATGAGCCTTGAGGCAAACCAAACTGGTTTTTATAAGCAAAATAAAGCAGGAGTGAGTAACCGACAAAAACAGAAACGTCTGCTTCTCCACTGTGGAGATGCCATATACGGAGAGCCGCCTTGCTGCAGATTCAGCCTATATACCAAGCTGCTTCTCGGATTACAGTTGGTCCCGCCCCCTCGGCACACAGCTTAAGCCAGTGGTGATGCAGCTTTTCAGCATGGAGGCGTTGCTTTCAGGCTTAACCGCCTGGTTGCCTGGGGAACCGGGCAGCAGAGACAGACGGATTGGGGAAAAGAAAGCGTTTCCAGGTCAGCTCAAACATGGAGAGAGGAGCAGAGAGACAAAGAGGAGGTGATAGGGAGGTGGCAGAGGAAAAATGCTCGGTGGAGAGGCAGTGGGGGGAGGCAGAGGTGCTGGCTCTCATGACAGTGTGGGACGAGGTGGGAGCTCAGCACGTAGCAGAGAGCAGAGCCACATTTGAGCTGATTTCAGAGCGTCTGAGGAGGCTCAGTGTTGTGCGCAGTTGGTGGGAGTGTCAGGCCAAGTGCAGGAGCATGGGACTCCAGAGCAGGAAGCCAGACGCAGCAGCAGGCACCTCAGCAAACTACAACCCAGGAGTGGATGCAAGGCCAGAGGACAGCTGGGAGGAAGAGGAGGAAGAGGTGGAAGATGTGGGTAATCAAAGAGGAATCTACCATCCCTCAGTCACTATCCCAATACAGGAAGGTAAATGCAGGATCAACCCCAACTGAAGCGCAGATGATCATGACCTCAACATTTTAGTATTTTAAATCAACTGATCGATAAAACAAGCATGTCAGTCAAACTTTTGCCTGCTCTAAACATTTGAAACACAATCTAAAGTTAGATTAAAAGTAAAAAAAGAATTGTGATAAATTAGTTTTTAATAAAAAAAAAAGATAACAGTTTGTGAATTTGTGTACAGGTATCAAGAGTCTAATCCATCGGACTCCTTACACTGCGAGTGTGGCTGAAGAGAGCGGGCGCCACTGGACGGACGATGAGGTGCAAGCGCTGCTGTGCGTCTGGGCTGACCGGCACATTCGGGAGCGCTTGAAGTGCACGCTACGCAACAAATCCATCTTCCAGGAGATGGCCCGTCAGATGCAGAGAAACTTTGGGGTGGTACGCAACTGGAAACAATGTCGAACTAAATACAAGAACTTGAAATATGATTACAAGACTGCCAAAAGCACTCACGCTGTTGGAGGCAGCGGCGCGGGAGGCCCGGGGAAATACATGAAGTTCTTTGATGAGGTGGAGGCAATTATACTGGACCGGGGGCTGGAAAACGGGACCATGGCGATGCAGAAGAGGTTGTATGAGGGAGAAATTGGAGCAGAGAGGCAACAGACATCGGCCTCAGCAAGTGAAGTTGTGATTGAAATTGACGATGGTGTGTATTCAGTCTGCAGTGTAATTGGTCGTATTGTAATTAAAGCTAAAAGAACAATCAATTTCTCAAATTATCTTATTTTCAGATGAAAACAGTGATGATTATGATATTGATGGAGACATGGAAGCAAGATGGAGAGGAACAGGTACAGTACGCCACGTGAATAACAAGAGCAGTTGAAAGTATATATGTCATCTTTTCTTTCTTTAATCGTTTTCTATTCCCTCCAGATGCCCATCTTGCACTCACGGATCCGTCCAGCTCTGAGCAGTTCCACGTGGTCACGGTGTCGGACACGGGCCGAAACTGGAGTGACCAGGAGGTGCGAGCACTCATTCAAGTCTGGTCCGATGAGCGTGTGTGCAAGCAGCTGGAGAGCTCGACTAGAAAGAGAGACATCTTTGTCCAGATCTCCAACAGGTTAATGCAGCAAGGCATTGAGCGGGACTGGAAGCAGTGCCACACCAAGTACAAAAACCTCAAGTACCTTTACCGCTCCCTTCAGAGAGGGAAGGGTGAAGAAGCTGACCCTAGGCGCCTTATGAGGTTCTACGATGAGGTGGATGCCATTATGAATCGCACAAGTGATGGCTCACCACAGGAGAACACAGGAACTGCGGACCACCAGGCAGAATCAGACAGACTCACGATGTTGGGGGTCCGTGAGGAGAACAATCATGTAGATGTGTATTTGAGAAAGATGAACGCAGTGACCACAATGGCAGGAGGAACTGAGGACCGAACATGTGGTTCTGATTCGGTCTCATCGATGTGCTTCGATGGGACACCGAACCACGAAGAACTGAGGCTGCATGCACTCCAGGAGCTACGCTTTGATCAACAGCACAGATTAATGAGTGAGCCCAATATCATTAATTATTCACGTTTAGTGTCCAGATGTTTGATGTAAACATTTCACATATAGCTCTCTGTTATCAATTACCACGAACACATCATTAAACCTACAGAAGCAGAGATAGCAACCAAAAACATTTAAGCTTTGTTTTGATTTAACATATCTTACGTATGATCTCCCAATCTTCAACCAATAAGTGGCATTTTTAAAAGGGTTGGATTACTCGAATTTCTGATAAACATTTTTGCTCAGACCAAGTGTTAACTAGATGTATGTTCACCTACGGGCACAGCCTTGGCAATCGTTTATATTGCATGTACAAGATGAGGAAAATAAATCTTAGCAATGCCTAACCAACACAACTGTCTGCATGGCTATTTATCTTATATCTAAAATCATTTAAATACATTGAAAATAAACAACAAAAAAGAGTTTGTTTTGCTAGTAAAGAATGTATGGTAACTGAGAATGTATGTTGTTTGCAGGCTCTTGTGAATCGCTTGTAAAGAAAGAAGTTATCTATTCAGCAAACAGAAGGATGAAGAGGAAAGCTGTAGATCAAGGTTTGAAATGTGCCTCCCTCTTTAAGTCACTTTGTATGTCGCATGATGTCCACAATTGACAGAAGTCTTTGTATTTCTGATTGGGTCACATGATTTGCCGTGGAGCCACGTAATTACATTTTAGATAAGGGTACTTTTGTAACTACTGACAGGACGCACAACTCATGATGGCTGTCAGACCAAAAGAAACAGAAACATTGCTCGTCCATGAGAATGTTAAATATTGTATAAGCAAAACTTTTTTTAAAACAAATAACAGCATCCATGTAATTCAAGGATAACAATCTGATTTTATTTGTTTCTTTTTCAGACTTCACACTCCAGACACCAGTCAAAAAACGGGTCACTGGCTGTGATAACATGGAGGCTGGATGTAAAGAAGAGCAGGATCCCATCCCGATAATGAAGATCAATTCAGTCTGTTCAATAGCCTCACCTAATCCATCCCCACAGAGAGAGGTAACACCTACTCACACATGTGATACAGTACAAAAAACATGTTGCAACCAAGGTAAACTAAAGACATTATTCTTTAACAGACTGTAGGAGTTTAAAGACACGATGCTGCTGAGCTGTGAGAAAATCTGATAATACAGTTTATTTCTGTCTTATAAGAGAGATTGTATGTCATCTTATAAAAGCTGCAACCTTTTGTCAATTAATCAATTAGTTTAACGACAGGAAATTATATTAAGAACTAATTGCACTAGTAATTTTTCAAGAAATGATGCCAAGCCAAACATATCAAATTTGATAATGTGTTGCTTTTCTGTAATTTGAGTAACTAAATAACTGTTTTGGACTTTTTTTTGTGGAATTTAAAAAACGCTTTGAAGATATCTTTATGGGCTTGTTTTTCTTACTCTGGAATTTGTATAGACAATACATTCAACAGCAGATCATTTAATAGGTTATTTGCACATCTCCACATCCTATAGTATTTTAGTGATTCTGTTACCAAATATTTAGTTTGTGATTAACTTTATGTAGCTACTTATAGTAGATATATTACTAATCACTTTGGCTAAGTTTACTGAAGAAATGTTGACTTTACAGTGTGGTATTGAAAAAAGCCTACTTTAACTTCGATAGATCGATAGATCGATAGATAGATAGACATACATAGTATGTGAATACACATACTATACAGAGATTCTGTGTGAGAAACCAATGTGATTTTGGAACATTGAACAATGTAAATATATTCTAGTATACCTCAACAATGGAATTATGATCAGTAGAAATGGCCATGACATGGGACCTTTAAGTTGTTTATTTAGTTTGCTGTAGCTTATAAGCTTCTTATTTTGTTTTTTAACTTGACTTTATACGGAGTAATTTTCGTTTAAAAAAAACATCTTCCACCCCTGTTTAACTTCAAGCTGTTTTCTCTTCAGCTTGACTAACATAAGCGGTTTTTAGCACCTATAATTAAATAATTTAGGACTTAATAACTCAAAAGTGGTTTTGCATTATTTTCACATTACACACACACACCTTTCTGTAGCTTACCTGTGCTGTAGCGCCACCAGTCCCAGAGTTAGGACCTGAGCCACCTCCAGCTGCGTGGGCCACTCTCCGGCCGCCACACAGCCGAAAACCCCGCACTCCTCCCCGATACCGTTCTCCTCAAACTCCATCAGGCCTTCGTGAGTCTCGGTCCTCCGGTAACCGGGTGGTCAACAAGTATCCTGCGTTTTCCTACACCAGTTCCGATAGCATTGAACGAACACGTGTACCGTTGTTTGTTAAAGCCACATGAACTCAGCTGACATTGTTGACGCGGAATCACGAGTTGTGAATAAAAACGTTGTGACAAGTAAATCACTTTTTTAGCAGAAACATGCAACAGTAGCTGATATAAGATAAATCGATTACGCGATCTATCAAACACACGCGGAAACACGTGGTGTTTACATTGAGTGCCACAAACTCATCTAAATGATCGATTCTGTCGAGCGGTGGGTTGTTCTCTCTTGATAACGTTCTCTGATAAAAAATCAATCTGCTTGTCAAAGAGAAAATGGGGGCAGTTTAGTAGATAAACTCCAAAAAACTTCTACTTGGAAATATTTGGGGTTTTAGCATTTCCCCCCCACGTGTTGAGCATCGCGCTGCTGTGATTGGTTGGTCGTGATAAGCAAAGGGATGTGATTGGTTATCAGATCACGTACTTCCCTTCTTCTTCTGCCCGCACTCCTCTTGCTGCCTCTTCATCTTGAAACTTTTACAAGTGTAGTGTCAGTTTTCATTTTGTGTTTTCAGGACTGTCGGTTGTTGAAGAACACCACCATGACCTCCGCATCAGGTACAGTGCTACATTAAAATGGATATTTAGGAGATTGTGTTCAAATGCGCAGTGGTCTAATGTGAGCATTTTTTTTCTTTTGGGTGTGTGTGTGTGTGTGTGTGTGTGTTTTACAGAGTTGAAGATCGGTAAAAAGCTACTTGAGGGAAAGACGAAGCAGATTTTTGAACTTGAGGATGAGTCCGGAGTGGTTCTGGTTCAGTCCAAAGACCAGATCACAGCGGGGAATGCCGTGAGGAAAGACCAGATGGAGGGAAAGGCTGCCATCGCCAACAAAACAACGAGCTCCGTGTTCAAGCTCCTGCAGGATTCTGGTGAGGACACGTTTATTGGATTTGACAGATCCATTCAAAAAGATTGCAGCAGTTATAAGTCTCATAACGTTATTCACCCTGAGGCCATTTTCCCTCGTTGAGAAATATTCTTTAGATTTGTGAGTGTGTGAGGGCATACTTGCTCTATGATTCATTAATATATTCTCTTTTGTTAGTTCTCCCTCACATATTTCCTTATCAAATTCAAATGTTTTGAATTTTCTGAAATAAAAATGATCCCCTCCCCCTAACTACAAACACTGATCTCGTGTCACAACTGACAACGTTGATGTGTGTGGGGCTTGTTTGACATTTGGAAAAAAAAAAAAAAAAAAGAAACCCAGATCTCCAAAATGACCCACAACTTTGCTTTAATTTAGCACTAATTGGGTAAGTGTTCCCGACATGCCACTCGTGAGTGTGGTAAAGGTTGTCTTGTGACTCGGATAATTCACCAGAACGTGACCAACCACATTTAATATTTAATTAGGGACATCACACAAACTCAAACTCTTTAAGGTACTGGCGTTTCATCTTCTTCTTTTATAAATCAACCCTAAATGGTAACATTTTGACTTGGCTTTCTTCACAGCTCTTAATACTGGAGGTCTGGCTGTGTAAATGTATGTAGCTGATTTTAATATCTACTCTTTCTTCCAGGCATTAAAACTGCCTTTGTAAGGAAGCACTCAGACACAGCGTTCATTGCCACCCACTGTGAGATGATTCCTATTGAGTGGGTATGTCGCAGAGTGGCAACTGGATCCTTCCTCAAGAGAAACCCAGGAGTAAAGGAGGGCTACCGCTTCTCCCCCCTGAAGATGGAGATGTTCTTCAAAGTGAGTCTGCCTTCAATATGCTTCTTTAGGTGCTGTGGCTTGACTAATTGTTTCCACATGTCAAAACTCATCCATTTTAAGTAATATGTTGCTCTCTGCCACAGGATGATGCCGCCAATGACCCACAGTGGTCAGAGGAGCAGCTGCTGGAGTCAAAATTCTCTCTGGCTGGGCTCACTATCGGTCAGTGCGAGGTGGACATCATGAATCGCAGCACTGTGGCCATCTTTGAGATTCTGGAGAGGTCCTGGGCCACTCAGAACTGCACGCTGGTGGATATGAAGGTATGCAGTGCAGCGCTGCCCTCTGCTGGTTATTCGGATTTCCTGTTGTGAACTCCGACTACTGAACTCTTTTTAACTGCTTCACAATCGGGGTTTATCATTTTTGTTTATAGATCGAGTTTGGCGTGAATGTGAAGACTCAGGAGATTGTCCTCGCTGATGTGATCGACAATGATTCATGGAGGCTGTGGCCGGCTGGAGATCGGAGCCAGCAGAAGGATAAGCAGGTCAGGCCTTCTCTTTGGTATATCCATTTAATTTTGACACCTTTATGACTTTATATAAAGGCTAAAAGTGAGTTGTTTTCCCATATTACTAGGTGTACCGAGACCTGAAAGAAGTTACGCCTGAGGCGATGCAGATTGTGAAGAGAAACTTTGAGTGGGTGTCCGAAAGGGTCAAGGTACACTTAACATCCAATCTACTGAGATATCATGACAGTCTTTTGGTTTACTTTTAATCAACCTAGTATAACATATCTAAACAAAGTTGATTATATTCAGGACTGGACTCGGACAATAAGTCTGGCCAGGGATTATACAGCCAACCAGGCCAATACCAGTTTTTTTTTTTTTGGCCTTTTGCTGGTTGAACCGTCAATATTTACATTTGCTGCCCATAGTGTAGCATAAATCTTACTCAATAACATGGCCTTGCATGGAGCTAATGGTTGCTGTGCTGTGTCTCTAGCTGCTGCTGGAGCCCCTGGCCGGAGGCAGGGTGGTGGTTCTGATGGGCTCCACCTCCGACCTGGCTCACTGTGAAAAAATCAAGAAGGCCTGTAGCTCCTTCGGGATCCCCTGCATCCTGAGAGTCACCTCGGCACACAAAGGTCCGGATGAGACACTCCGTATCAAAGCTGAATATGAAGGTGTGTATTATTTTATCTATCTTTAAAAAAAGTAGGTATTTAGTTGCCTGTCATGTCATAATATCTGTATGCTTGTCCTCAGGTGATGGCGTACCAACCGTGTTTGTGGCTGTGGCCGGCAGGAGTAACGGCCTCGGCCCGGTGATGTCTGGAAACACTGCGTACCCGGTCATCAACTGCCCTCCTCTCACTCCAGACTGGGGTGCACAAGATGTCTGGTCATCCCTGCGTATGCCAAGTGGTGAGTATGGCACTTCCTGTCTTGAATTTTTTTGTCCACATGTTAGTTTTTTTCATTATAATAACCAGGCCCCTCCTCCTTCAGGTCTCGGCTGCTCGACCATCCTCTCCCCTGAGGCCGCTGCTCAGTTTGCCGCGCAGATTTTTGGGTTGACCGATCATCTGGTGTGGTGCAAGCTGAGGGCCTCCATGCTCAACACCTGGGTGTCTCTCAAGCTGGCTGACAAGAAGTTACAGGCCTGCAGCCTCTGAAAGGCTCCTTTCAGACTTGTGTTGTCTTCTTAGGCTCCACGTTCTGTCACTGATGTGTCTTTGTTTACCATGAGAAGCCACTTGCAGTAGATGAAGTCTCCCTATGATTTCTCAAACACATAAATCATTCCATTAAATAAAGCTTCTTAATTAAAAGCTTATGTTGTTATTTTATCCCGTTCAGACCCTCGCAAATCTGCCAAGAAAAAGCTAAATATCTCCACAGTAACTTTTGAAAATTATTTTGAAAAAGCAATAGTTAAACATTTTTCAATATTCACTTGAAGTGTTTTTGGCAAACATTTATGTTTGTAGTATTCCTCCACAGGAATCATATTCCTGTATATCTGGAGTTTTTTTTGGGCAAGTCCATTAGCCTGTGGGGCCGGATCAGAGTGGAGGAGTTTGGACTTCAGTATTTATAAAAATCTTGGCTTTGACCCTGATTGTGATTTGTGCCAAAGTATGTTTGTCTTGCCAATTGTCAAATTATGATTTCATCTTTTTGAATGAGATGTTAAAGGTGGGGTAGGTAAGTTTGTGAAACCAGCTCGAGATCGCTAGAATTTGAAAATACACAACCGGAGAAAATCTGCCACTTCCTTACAGAGCCCCTCGAACACACACGAACGTGCACATGACCAATGAGGGCACGAGATAAGTTTGTGCACAGATGGAAGGCTGACAGGCAGGTAGTTTTACCAGTTATTTTAGCCGGGCCGGCTAAAATGATTGGTCGTACTTTTTACAGTATTACGGCTTCCACAGATGACATTTTTTTTTTATGGATTTTTTGTCAAAGCACTTAAGATATTCATTGCTATCGGGATGTTAAGAGCATTCCATGGAATATAACAAAAAGTGTATCTCGAGCCGGTTTCTCAAACTTACCTACCCTACCTTTAAGTTGATGGCATGGTAACTTGAAGGTTGAGGTTTTTTGGCTGTCATGAGATGCCGGGATCAAGTTCAAAATCAGCAAATAGTTGTTAAAGGTTTGAAATGATACCTCTAAAAGCGGTTCTGGTGTATATCATAAGCACTGCATATGGGTTGATGCACCCATTTTTATAGCTTAAATGTCACTCGTATGGTCTTATTTCATTTGCATGTTTGACATGCATAGTTTTGTTGCATGCTCTACTATCAACAGCACTGTTTTAGAAATTCAGATGACAACCAGATCTCCTTTCAATGATGTCAAAGCCCTGACAACACCCACATATACGATCTAATCTGAAAATATGGTTAGTCATATTGATACCTTGCAAGACAGGTTGTCACTCCGCTCCACTAGAGGTCTCTGTCTTTGTGTTCTGCTGGCTGGCTCTTGTTTGTGTTTCAGGTGATTAACCTGATGAGCCACACCTGGGCGTCTACATAAAAGGCCAACACCAACCCATACTGCCCTCTCACTCTTCTGTTGGACACGGCCGCGTCTTTGTTTCTGCACATTTTCACACACCCATACACGCAATCATTACTGATAACTGACTTCCACGTAGGGCTGCTCGATTATGGGAAAAATCATAATCTTGATTATTTGAGTCAATAATTGATATCACGATTATTAAAAACGATTATCCATTTACTTTGAAAACATCAATCTATTGGAGATGTTTGAACAGTATGATTTTAACAGTTGATTACCCTGAACTTTAAGTATAATTCAACTGAAAAACCCATAAAAAGTAATATTAATAAAAAAATAATCGTTTTATTTCGATTACTTTGTTTTCGTAATCGTTGCAAGCCATAATCCTAATTGCGATTAAAAAACGATTAATTGAGCAGCCCTACTTCCACGTTTAGGTTTCTTTGAAGACCTTTGGTTTTGGTTATAGTAAATAAATATGCTTTTTGTTACACTTAACTTGTCTGGTCTCCCATCTTTGTTGCAGCCTATGAGCCAGGCCGTAACACAGGTGCATAACCTATGTATGAGTGGCTCTGCTAATGTCGTATAAACTAGAATAGAGAGCTGCAACTCCAGTTTATACATTTCCCCCTTTATAATTCTCATTTCAACCACATCCATGTATCTGTCATCTGCTCAGTTGTGGGACCTCAACTTGGCCACAAGAGGGAGCCTGTGTCCCATGTGGACGATGCCAAATCTTAACCTTTCAATCTGTTCCAGCAGTTTGCAGCCAAGGGAATGAGTCAGAATATCATGCCACC